AAGTTACTCATGTCATTTCTTGTGCTACTGTAGGTACGGTTAATTCAGAGTTGACTATAGACTATATTCTTATAAACTATAAGAACCTCTCCTTTACATCTTATAGATTAGGCGTCATAGTTTCTATGAGTGATCTACAAAAGCCTAGCCTAAATTCAAAAGTCAAGCTTATTATCCCACCAGCAAGGATCTAATCAGATTTTGTTTCATGGTTATATGGGCACTCAGCATAAGCAATCTTGTACCAAAGAACATTCCGTTTTCTGAAGTGCCCTAACTCTCTGGGGTATAGGGAATTTAAACCAGAATGGCTCTAGAAGTGTAAAAATGCTACGGTTTTTATACAATACACTCATATTCCCTTTTTCACATAGAAACATTCACAAGAGTGTAAAAGATACTGAAATACCAAGAGAGGTGACCTTTTGCAAGCACATTCATGCTCTCCTGGGAAATAAAGAATAAAGTCATTCACCACCAAGTGTAATATTCCTCACTTCCACTTGCCTGATTAAAGGAGTCAACACAGGTAGTTTCAAATTAAAACACAGTTGGAGCAGCTAGGTTGAAAATGGAGCTCTGCAAAGAGGAACCAGGGGGCCACAGGATGCTGTTTATTAAAACTTGCACGTGATTATAACTTGCATAGGAGGGGTAATTCCATCCGTCATCCACCCCCACCCGTTACTCTGGTCACCAGGACCAGCCCTAATGCAGACATTAAATGCAGCGTTTAGGGGGTGACAGGAAATAGGATTCCACTGCAAAATGAGCACAAAAGCACATGACTCCAATAAGGAGAGAGGGCAAAGGTTATTCCTAATGATGTCTGTGGAAGTGCTCAGAAGTCCTGCGCTCGCTCATTACCGAGCCACTGCGGGGCCCAATGCTGTGAGGGCAGCGTGAACCAGGAGGACCCCTTCTAGATGAGAGGGAGGTCATGTTACTCAGCGGGGACACAGCTGGTTGGTGGCGGGCTCAGATTAGAACCTCAAGTGTCCAGCCTCCACTCCCAGAAAACTCTCATATCTCTTAAAATAACAGAACATATGGAACTGGGCCACACAGTCAACAGTGCCCCAGAATTCATTTGCTATAAAATGAAAACCAATACACTCACCCAGGAGGTGTGCTGTTCATTCCTCCCACTGATTAGATAGGCATCTAAATTTTTTTAAGAAGTCAGTTTGGGGCTATTGTTTTATTTCTTTTCAAATCCTTGAAAGTCACAGACTTAACATTGTCTGCTTTACTGTTCTTTCAAGTGACAAGTATCGGTCTAACAGGACCATGACTTTGGAGGTGTCTCATTCATAAGCATCACCTTTTAGGAACATGCTCCGTGGAACCTTTGCAGTAGAAAGCTTACTCTCTGATCTTGATCAACACAATGCCCAACAACTGGTGGCATTACATATGGAACATAAAAAAGCACCCCTCCCAGGACTGGGGAAGAGGAGAGTAAGAAAATCAAAAGTTAGTAGCATTGTTTTTGCGACGAGGTCACAGTACACAGCTGAGAAGGCTCTAACAACTTCATCAGTTAAAGGTCTGGTGTGAAAATCATTTCAAGGACATACATGAGCACGTTTTCATATAGAAAGCACTAAGAATTAGATATTTCTCTCTTTATGGAAGGTTTCATTTTTACCTTTGCAGGAACCACCTGTAATTTTGCCCTAATAAACAGTTAAACTCAGAGTACCTGCTGGGTATGCCAGACCAAAAGGACAACTATTAAATATCTAGTTAATATAATAATTTATAGTTTTAGAAAATGAAGAAGAATGGTCCCACAATCGTTTGATATAATCCCTTTTCTTCTTCAGATAATGCATGCACATTTCATTATTCATCTTGATCTGAACAAAAGGCAAGATTTTCCCCGTTCTGCCCAGAAACTACCACTGGGAAATTAATATTCAAGATGAACAATAAACTCTTCTCATGGCCTGTGAACCTGCTGGTTGCCAGGGGGCCTGTGGCTTCCTACGATTACTTTAGATTTGGTAGCATGAATTGGGAGCTTAAACAGTCGGATAAGACATGATCTTCAAGATTTAAAGTTCCAGAATTCTGTGCTTCACTGTCCTTTTGCAGAAATCTCTTTAAGTTTTACATGTGCCTATTCTGACCTCTTGAGCTTATGGGTAGTTTATCCTGAGGGTATATGGAAAAGTTAAGGCTAAATGTCAAACGATTGCTATAAATCACTTTTCAAACTGGTAATTACTTATTAGTAGAGAAAAGACCGAAACAGTGCTGTCTCATTAGAAAGCTATTATGGAACCACCTGTAATTTTGCCTTAATAAACAGTTAAACTCAGAGTACCTGCTGGGTATGCCAGACCAAAAGAACAACTATTAAAATTTCCAAGGATCTCTCCTTTTCTAAAAAGGAGGGGAAACAAGCTTAAAAGAAGTTACTTCCCCCACATTTTTAAGGAATATTTGTGTGTGGAGGTGTGGGGGTATTTCTAAAAATAGTCTCAAACTGAAGTTATTTTAAGTCACTTAGTACATCTTCAATGAGGCTTATCTTATCCTTTGAACCCAACAACAAAATGCTCTTTTTACTGAAAACGAAGCATAATACTACCAGCGGTTATTATGCCAAATGACTGAACCAACAGAAAGAAGAAATATGAAAAGCCTCATGTGTTTTCTAAGCTGCTTCCTTTTCTGTTTCATTTTATGGGACAAAGCTCTGTTTATATCCAGAGTCACTAACTTGATTCAAGTGGATTTCCTTCCCATTTCTGAAGAGGAAGAGAACTTCTTGTAAATGACCTCAGAGTGTGTCAATACACCATCTTTTCCTATCAACTCTCACATTGGGAAAGGAGCCATATTTGAAAAGCAAATTGGTAAGACAGCCCCTTTTCCCCCCAGAAGAAGATCCGAATGAGAAAGATTCCAACTACTCTCCCAGTATTCGTTGTAGCTGTTTGTCTTAATATTTACTATTTCCTTCCATTAGCACCAACACACCTCTTATTAAATGTATTAGCTAACACTTAAAAGGATGAATAAATCCTTCCCTCCCTGGACAGAACCATATTATAACCAACCCCGTAGCCCTATGAGACACTGTACCCTTAGGGGACACTCCAGAAAATACTGGACATAGCTCTTCTTCCCACCTTTTGGGTTTCTTTTCTCCATAGTAACCTAACATTAAATCTAAATAGAAAACCACCAACCTACAACGGCTTAGCCTTCAATATCACCGTCAGGCAAGCTTAACCATCTTCAGGTCAAGAAATGAAGTAAGAAACAAGAATTAAGTAAATTCTCATCCTAAAACCCTTTAAAAATGCCTTGCAGGACTGACAACCGCAAGAGAAGTTCTTTGGCAAAGAATGAGTGTGTGATCACAATGAAGCTATATGCCAAGACAGTCAAAAAATAGGTTCCATGGGAACAGGCCTGAAATCATTGGAGTCTTGCAGGTCTGTTGAAGAAATTACGGCTACCTGCCCTTTCACAGCCTCATATGTGGTACCAGTACTGGTTCCTAAAGAGGAGGAAAAGGGGGGGGAACTACTCAGTGTGGAACCAAGACATCAAGTCTTTAGCATATGAGACCTGGGATTATAGGAACACTTAGTGCAGACATGCACTTATGTACATAGGTTTTTTGAGGTTAGATTTGGATCCAGGTGTATTTCAAAATTTACTGTCACACTCTGAAGAATATAGCAACCACCGCAGAGATTGGCTTCAATGACTTAAGTGTAAACGGCAGGTGTCAATTCCTTTACAAATTTAGCGTTTCATGAAACAATCAAGGGAGCCTTAGCGCCAAAACAGTATCTTTATGTCACCAGATTTTGCAATAAAAAAAGACAGTTATTGTATTTAGGGTTTATACTCATGGAAATGTGGTCACAAGACATTTTTAAAGCATAAGATACTGGCCCCAGGTTTAAAAACTTGCTGTTTTGGAAGGAAGGTAGTAGTACTAGACTGTAAGTACCAACTGCAAGCTTAAAGCAATCTTTCCAGTTAAGACAGGGCTTAGAATGATTGGTATACTATGTGGTTCCAAAAATTAATCGCAGTTCTTCCATTATATCATGTTTAAAAGAAAATTGATTCTTTCAGAATGAAAAACAAAAACCGATGTCTTACACAGCATGACATACAAGTGGTCAACAGTAAAGTAAGAAGAAAACAAGGAAAGAGTTCCAGGATTTTCCTCCTTCAGCATTTCCTCTAGGGTTTTGGCCCTGGGTTCCAAAGTCACACACCAAAGCCATTTCCAAATGGAAGTGACTTCTTTGGAAATTTAACAGCACTTTTTAACACTGCATTTTAAGATGAAACCTTCTCTGAAGGCTTCACTTCCATCCACCGTTTTGTCTGTCCTTCCTGTCTGACATGCAAACGCAGCCTCCATTCTTTCTATACCACCTAATTCAAAGCAACATGTTAAATCCACACAGAATCATGTGAGCGTTCAATCTGCATACACACCATTACCCCACAGAATGCATTCAATGAGCTCCCACTTAGTTCTCTGCGTGCAAATCGGAAGAGCCTGGGATGGATGCAGCGCTCTCTTGCCTACTCAAACCATCCAGAACTGTGCATGGAACCTGTTCCCTTTTAAGAAAAGGGGCTGTTTAAATGCCCACTAGGATAACTGGCCACCATGCATGAGCAAGCCAGGCGGTACTGCAGGCAACACCGGACGCAGGCTGTCCACAAGGCTCAAGGCAGCTGCCGCGCCGGGACTGGCACCATTCATCTCCCCGCAGCCCCACGCCCGGCAGTCCCCTCCCTCATTTTACCTAACTAATCGCTTTCCAACCCCATATTGAGAGGCCCTGCTGTGGATCTTGCGGAGGTACAAAATGGTGGATGGGAGCTAATTTGTTCCTGCTTGCCCCCTAACTTATGCATCCATCAGCGCCCGTGCGCCCACCTCGGCGTCCGGCAGCGGCGCCCAGAGCACGCCCCGCGGGCCCCGCAGGGGCAGAAACGCGGTCACCAACCTGATGTCATGTAGCCTCGCGACGCCTGGGGCGCGAAGGCCGCGGGGAAGCGCTTGTGCAGGCGGTAGTCCTTCTCGCTGCGGGACCTCATGCGGTCCGAGGCCCGGTCCGAGAAATCCGAGCTAGGCCAGGCTCGCCGCAAGGTTGTGCTCCGGGTCTTCTTCATGGTGGGGAGGGCGCCCTGCCGCCCGCTGCTCGGGCCTCAGCGCCGGGGCGCAGCGCGCAGCTTCATCCGTCTACGGCGGGCACGACCCGGGCGGACTCTGCGCTCATTTTCCCAGCCCCTCCTCGTCGGCGTCTACACCGCCCGCGGCGGGTCCGGCCCTCCCCACGCCCCCACACACCCCCACGGGGAAGGCTCCGATTTTACACACGTCCCACAATGCATTACACTTCATTTGCAATGCGCCCGGCTTATAGCTTCCAGATTCCTGGGGGGAAAGGCACGTTAGGGGGCTCCCCGGCCAGGAGGAGGCGGGGAGGGGGCGGGCGGGGTGGGGGCGCCGAGACTTGCAGCGTGAAAGCAATGGGAGCGCAGACAATGGCCCGATTCAGCGCAGGAGTGCTTAGCCAACTGGGAGCCACGGCACAAAAGACCCAAACAAATGAGGCGGCCGAGGCCTGCGGGGCTGACCCGGCGCCGGGCGCCCGGGAGGCCGGAGGGGCGGCGGCAGACCCTCCGCGCCGCGCGGCTCACAGCGAGGCGCGGGGATGACAGCGTCCGGGTGGTGTCCCCCCGGGCCTACCGGCCGCGCGGCCCGCGGTCCCGGGCTGGCCCTGCCTCCCCTGCAGTCCTTGGGAGGCAGTCTTCATTCCAGAGGCTCGGATGGGGGGCGTGTGCGCGCGGGATCCCCCGGCTCTGCAGGCGGCAGCGCGGCAGGCGGGCTCCCGCGGATCCCAGGAAGAGCCCGCCGTCCTCGCGGCTGCAGCGCCTCGTCAGTCTTTCTCCTTCCGAGCCCAGGGTGCTGCGTGCGTGTGCGCGCGCGCGCCGCGTGACACGCATGTGCCCCCTGCCCCGGCGTGCTCCTACCCACGGGCGGCGGGGCCGCCGGGCCGGCCGGTCCACGCGCGCGCGGCGGGCGCCGAGGGGCGGGGCGCAGGGCAGCCGCGCAGCCTCCTGCTCGTGGCCGGGCGGCCTGAAGTCAGGGCACGGGGCCTGTCAGCCTCACTTTCGCGTCACACACCCTGCGGCGGCGCAGAGACCTCGGCGGGGGCCGCAGCCCGGAGCCCGCGCTGGGATATTTACATGTTTTGAGGAGGGTCCCTCCCTCTCGCGGAAAGGGAGACGGTCCCCTCGGCCGAGACAGGGAGGTCTGCGGCGCCTGGCCTCGCCCACCTGCGCCAACCCCGAAGTCAGCTGCAGCCGGGGTGGGGGGCGCCCCCGAGAGCTGCTCCGCCAGCCACCAGCGCCGGGCACCTGGTCCAGGCCGCCGGGAAAACGCGGGGCGGGCGGCCTCCGGCTCTTCCTGTCTCCCTGGATCCCCCGTGGGAGTGACCGCCAGCCCGCTAACCTGCCGCCTTCAGGTCCGCAGCCCGGGACGCAGCACGGCTCTGCACAGCCGTCCCCGCTCCTGCGACCAATCGCTAAACAACAACAGCGCGCGCGACGCGGGGGCGGCGGAGGGGGCCGCGAGGTCACGCCGAGTTAAAGGCGCGGCCGCCCGGCCGCGAGCCCCGACCGCGGCCGTCTAGGTTTCCAAAAATGCTTTGGTGTTATAAGCAACAAAAATAAACCTGATTTTTCCCTAGCCGGCATTGTATTTTATTTCACATGGGTGCGATTTGCGGCGATGCAACGTCCAAAATCACTTCCTCTGCTGTTGTTCCACTGTCACAGGTGCCAAGGTGCAGAGACAGGGACATGAAATCTTTACCGGGCTATTATCTTATCAGGCTGATACCGCAAAAAACAAAGCCAAAAAAAAATTTTTTTTTGTATTCTAAATGGTTAAGATTTGGGAGTTGGAGCACAATTCGGTGTTATCCCAGGGATTCTTTAGGGGCAGCAAGGGTCTTGGAGAGCCTTGCCAAGGGGGGTGTGGTTTAAGCCACAAGCATTATAAAATCGAGGCCTAGAGCTTCCATGCAGGATCTCAAGGCTGCCCTCTGTAAACTGGGGCCAGGATAACCGCTCTATCTCTTGGGATACCAGGGGTAAACAAACAAATAAAACCACCAAGTTTAACTTACATTTACATGAATCAAAATACATTATTGTTAAACCAACCAGCTAATGTTCAGTGATACGTAAAAGTTAAGGAAGGATAGTCTCCCAAACGGCACATTTTGCTAAAATGTCTTCTTTCATAAAGAGCTCTGCTAAGAACTCGCACACACAACCGCTTTAGACACTATAGAAGACTCAATGTGTAAAGAACCATAATGGCAATAAAAAAATAACTGTACTAATGAATGCATGAGACATTGGCATTTAGATATCTCAATTCAATTCAACAATTAGTACCTCCCATGAGCCAAAAGTGGTTTTATGAATGATTATAATAGTTATGACTGAAGACTAATGGTGACTGTTGTGACAACTGTAATGTTTATTCATTCCACAAATAATGACTGACTATCTAATATACGCCAGCCCTGTGATGGGTGCTGGGCAAACAAAATAACAAATGTGACCTCGCACAGCTTGTAATCTAGGTAGTAAGCAAATAAATGTACAAACTATGCTAAGTTCTATGAAGAAGAATCACTTCTCTGAATTAGACTTACAGAAGAAGAAGTCATCCAGGCAAAGAGTGGGGGAAATGGTATTTCAGAAAACAGGGACAGGATATGCAAAGGCCCTGAGGCAGGAAAGAACCTTGGCTTCTGTCAGAAGAAGTAAAAGGCCAGTGTGGCTGAAACTGGAGCCTAAGAGAAAGGTGTGTCAGGAGATTACAGAGGAAGTCAGCACCAGATCAAGCAAGGACTTGTAGGCCAAGTTAAGGGTTTTGTATCCTATTCCACAGGCAATGTGAACCACTTGAAGGGATTTAAGCAAAGAAGCAATGGGTTTTAGAATTTCTATAAGAAGGGGCTTAGAAGTGGGAATCTATTTGCACGGAGGGGTCAGGTGACCAGGAATTTTTCTGGAGAGGTTTGAATTGCATTTGATTTAGAAATGACAAAATATTCATTGTTTGAAGGTAAGAATAGGGGGTGGGCTGATGGATATTTTGGAAGGAGAGCTACAGCTCCACTCAGCCGCCCCTGAATGAGGGCAATGCCGGGGGGTGCTATCATCCAGGGCCCATATTCAATAGAATGCCCTTGGAACCAAGGCCCAAAAGCCAGACCCTGAAGAAGCAAGCAGTAAATAGGTTGGGTTGGCTGAACCGAATCACTAGGAGAGGCAGGGGTAGTTAACTCCAGAGGCAGCCAACTAAGGTGGATGACCAAGGCTTTGTCCCTTTGTCAGTTCTGGAAGATTTGTTTTGTCTTCTTTAACCCAGGCTCCAAACTACTAGTTACAGTTTTATCAGAAAGCTTCAGCACTTCGGATCTTTCTTAAGAGAGCTCTGCTCTCTCCTTACAAGGACCACCTGTGTGTTTGCCTGGGCGGGGGTCACGCTGCGCGCCTTACACCTGCAGCTCCCAGTAATGCCCTCCGAGCAACACTTGCTCTGAGAGACGTTAACAAATGAGACCTGAAAAGTGGGTTCCACTGTGAAGTACGTTTTGAAAGTTGTTAAAGTTTAAAACCCAGCCAGAGCGGTGGATAACCTGGGAAACAGAGACCTGAGCTACCAGACAGTTAGGAGGCTGCTACAAGAGTGTGAGTGAGACGCCGCCGATCGGAACTGGACTTCTAACAGGGAGGATGCAGGGTGGCGGGGAAACCCTCGAGGTTAGACCTGCAGACCTGTGCGGTGGGTCTCTCGGAAGATGGGCAAGGAGGGTATCCCAGGTGTCTCATTGTTTATGGCTTGGGGATTCCACACATGGAAACTAGAAAGTCTTTTTAATTCTGGACTTAATTCCCCTTTCCTGACTTTTGTAATGCTTATTATTCACGCTCATTATTTTGGTCTTTATTCTCATACTCTTCAATATTAAATATTTCCTAAACATTACACACACACACACACACATTTTTCTTCTTGCCAATATAACTGGTAATCTCCCACTGGACTTGGGTCCCTATCTGGTTTCTTGCTCAGCACTGCAATTCCACCTCTGCTTAAACACCTCTCGGAGTTCCATCGCCAATCACCCTTTCTTCCCATTCAGTCTCACTTGTTCAATGACACTCATGCTTAGTTTAGACCCCTGTAAGTGAAATGAGTTCCGGAACTCTCACCACTAGGCCTCCCTCCTGAGCTCTAAATCTTTATTTCCTACTGCCAATGGAGTATCCTTCCCAGACACATAGATGAACTCGAACTGCTCATCACACGAAATTAGTCATCTGTACCCCCACTCTGCCAACCTCTAGTTTCTCAGCGTGCTTTTGCAGGCATGCGGAACGGCATGGCGAGCCCCAGTCATCCAGTCCTCTCTCTCTGCTCTCCTGCCCTCCGTCCCCACCCATCACTACACTCAATCCGTCTCCGTATGCTTGTGTTCCTACTGCCTTCCAGTATCCTGTATCCTGTCGGCCATAGTGAAGGCACTGGGGAAGGAAGGAGGGGTGGCCAGGAGAGAAACGCCAGTGTCAACTGCCGAAGATACATAAAGGCTAACCTACCAAATTCAATGAAATAAGATGATGTTATAAAATTTTAACATTAAAAATTAAAATATACATAATCATGCATCTTATTTTTTTTGGAAATACATACTTCAAAAAAAAATTTTCAATTAAAAATAGAAATTGACAGTCATTTGGTTCAATATTGAAGAGTTTAAGGCAAAAATCAGACTGCATTATAATAATATTATATGTTTTAGGCATTATATTAACTAGCACGGAGAAGTCTCAATTCACATGTGAATACAGTTGGAAATAAAAATGTTTAACCATCTTCTCTGATAAGGTTTTGACACTGAAAATGAATCAGCTGACTTATATTCAACAAACTTTGTTACCTGAGGTAAATCTCAGAATTTGTTTTTCTTCTAAATATGCCACATATTTAGTATCATCTACTGCTCTCTTCGTTGGGGAAATACCCAACATGGTCTTTTTTTCAAGCTTTCTAGTCGCTTTTCAAAGCGGTTTAAATATTTTCAGGAAAATCAGAAGAGTTTTAATCAGGTTGTTCAGTCAAGTAAAAGAATTCAATTCACCACAATCTCAGTGTGCGCCCCCTTGTCCAGCTTTGCAATCTCCTTTTAATCTGCCTCATACTGAAAAACCATCTTTGCAAATCAGCATGTATTACAGCTGTATCTGTGCATTTGGAAAATATGAAGGTATACTCACAAGGCTTCAAGAAATTAAAGCCAGCACTAAAATATGGTCACTTACAAAGCCAGGAGCAATTAGGCACGCTCTCACAGAGATGAGGCTTTCTTCTAGAAAGACC